TGATTCCGAAAAAGTGAGTACTAATTATTCTAAAAATTAAACTAATAATATATTAATTACCACCAACAAAAGTATTCAGAGTTCGTAATACCAAATTATCCACTGACATCGTTGATGTTATTATTTTAATTTGCCAGAAGAATAAATTCATTTACTGACTTGGTACACAATATGATTTAAATCATTAAGCAAGGCATTATTATAATATAGTACTTCTTATTGAGAGCCTGTGTATCAGAAATTTTATTCAGAGTCGATCTTTAAGAAAACCTTTTACAGATGTGGATGTACTCGCTAGGAAGAGCTTTATTGGACACAACCCCCCGAGTTTCAGCACTGACTGGTACCGTTTCGGTCTCACCCTCGTCAGCCCTTCAAAGCGTTTTAGCAGCTATGACAGAACCAGATTCTAAACGACGAGCTTCCTTAATGAATTTATTAGACGTAATTTCCGAGTATTGTAGAACCCGTCTGCAATCGAAACCGTTCACCCATATAGTGATGGACATGTATAGAGAAGTGATTAGGTCTCCGCAGTATTCAGCTCGAAAACGAATCGCCTATCAACATTTGAATCAGCTTCAAGTACAGCATCCACCGAATCAAATCAAGTACCCGCCTCCTAACCAGGATAGAAATCCTTATCAGTGTCTTCAGCAACAGACCGTGAGCCAGTACGATGTCCCACGAAATCATTTAATGAAACCCGACCCCAGGAGTCTTCAGCATTACCAGCAAACAGATCTCAGAGGTCAGGTCAAGGCTAATTTACAAAGATATCAGGGTCAAGATAAAGATAATGAGGTCTACTGTCGGAGTCAATGCAATCAATACAGCGGGCCCAGAATTAATCAGAAGCAAGGATATTCGCTCAATTACCCTCGACAATTCCAAGAAGCGCAGGTTCACCATCAACAGAAGCAACAGCAACAGCAATTTAAAAAATATAGAGAACCGCGTGAGGTTCCCCAAGAACCGCAAGCGTCATCAAAAATTCATTATCATTACCCGAGTCATCATAAAGCGAAGGGGACTCTGTTCAAACTTCAGTCGAGGAATTCGCACTCACATCCTAATTTAACGAGTCTATGCGATAAGCAGTCGCAGTTAAATAAAGAAGAGATCGGGGCGAATGTTAAGATCGCTGGGAACCCGGTGAACAGTCATCAAGGTCGATGTAATTACAATCATTTGAGGACGAACTCCCAGCCGATTTGTACGGATAATAAATTGCAGCACACTAGGAGCAGCGGGAATTTGCCATCGACGATTTACCACGAGGAGAACAAACCTGAATACAATTCTGAAAGAAACCTTGAAAACGATGGAAGGGAATATTATAGTAATACAAATTATAGTGACCCACTTTATTCGTTGCCAGTTAAACCTTTCCTCAGTTCGCAAGATGTTAGCAAGGTAAACGGACTGTCCACGAAGAGTCAACCGACTGGTTACTCTCATCCGGACATGACTTTATTAATACAGAAAGAAAAGAAGGAAGAAGAGATTTACAGTAACTCGGCGAGGTATATGAATTCCATAATGAAGAGACAATACTCGAATCCTCAGTTGCCTAATAGAAATCAGCAAGAGGAGCAAAAGCAGCAGGAGAGGAATTTCGAAAATAGGAACGAACGTCTGAACACGAAAAGAGAAGAGGAAGAAGACGAAGGGAAGAATAATCCAGCTTCTTCCATAAAGTTAAAACACAATCTTCAGGGCCCACCTAAACCTCCGAGAATCCTCACGACTTTGAAAAAGGCTTCGTTACTTTCGGACGAAGAGGGTAACAGCAGATCCGAACCTCCAGCGAAACCACCCAGGTATACTAATTTCTGATAAGTTTTAATTCAATCAAAACCAGATTCATGATACTGAATTATGCTTTATAGAAACTTGGTGAGGAACGGGCCGAGGGCTCGTAAGAACAAACCAGTTCAAAGGGCTCCCTCCAGATTATATAGAACGATAGGAAGTGGGCCTATAATGAAGTGTTTCAATCGGGCTCAGTGTATCGGCCCAGAATTCGTAGTCAGAGCTAATCAGCCACCTAAGACGTTATCCGTTGGTCAAATAAAGGTGAGTATTAAAAAAAAAAAATGAATTCCGGTACCGGGAATCGAACCCGAGCCTCCTGGGTGAAAGCCAGGTATCCTAGCCACTAGACCATACCGGATTTTCTGACTACATCGACTTTTATATCATGTTTTATGAAATGGGTCACATGATTCTTTATAAAAATAATTAATATTCTTTTTATAGACTGGAAATTGTGGGAGAATTATAGTAATAATGTTAACTGGACAGAGATTGGAAGTAAGCTGTGACCCGCAGAAGATAACAGCCGGCGATCTATTCCAGGTATCTCATAAATTAAAAAAAAAAGATTTCTTATTTGCCGATCGTCTCGTATTTCGTTGACTCTTGAAAATTCAATATTTGCGGCGGGAGTATAATGTGAAAAGTTGAATCGAACGTGTCGAGGGGGTCAATCAAAAGTAATAAAGTTTGAAATCGATTCGGGAAAGAGAGTTAGAGTGTCTCCTACAGATAAGAGATTCAATTTTCCACTGTTTGACTAATGCAATCATTATACATATATAACAATTTCAGGCTATTGTGAGAGAGGAGAATCTAGATGAAAATTTCGCGTTAGGCCTCGCAGTATTATTAGCAGGAGATTTTGCTATATTACCTTCGGATTACAAGTTAAATAAAATAGCGCCTCCGGGATGGTTGAACGATAACAATAGCAACAAAACTAAAATTCTACCGACGAATTTTATGCTCTATCTGAGAATACGATTTTTCTTACCATCTCTTCAGGGCATCAGGTACAATAAATTATTCCTTATTTCAAAGAATTTATGGAGCTTCTATTTATTTTNGTAGTCAGAGCTAATCAGCCACCTAAGACGTTATCCGTTGGTCAAATAAAGGTGAGTATTAAAAAAAAAAAATGAATTCCGGTACCGGGAATCGAACCCGAGCCTCCTGGGTGAAAGCCAGGTATCCTAGCCACTAGACCATACCGGATTTTCTGACTACATCGACTTTTATATCATGTTTTATGAAATGGGTCACATGATTCTTTATAAAAATAATTAATATTCTTTTTATAGACTGGAAATTGTGGGAGAATTATAGTAATAATGTTAACTGGACAGAGATTGGAAGTAAGCTGTGACCCGCAGAAGATAACAGCCGGCGATCTATTCCAGGTATCTCATAAATTAAAAAAAAAGATTTCTTATTTGCCGATCGTCTCGTATTTCGTTGACTCTTGAAAATTCAATATTTGCGGCGGGAGTATAATGTGAAAAGTTGAATCGAACGTGTCGAGGGGGTCAATCAAAAGTAATAAAGTTTGAAATCGATTCGGGAAAGAGAGTTAGAGTGTCTCCTACAGATAAGAGATTCAATTTTCCACTGTTTGACTAATGCAATCATTATACATATATAACAATTTCAGGCTATTGTGAGAGAGGAGAATCTAGATGAAAATTTCGCGTTAGGCCTCGCAGTATTATTAGCAGGAGATTTTGCTATATTACCTTCGGATTACAAGTTAAATAAAATAGCGCCTCCGGGATGGTTGAACGATAACAATAGCAACAAAACTAAAATTCTACCGACGAATTTTATGCTCTATCTGAGAATACGATTTTTCTTACCATCTCTTCAGGGCATCAGGTACAATAAATTATTCCTTATTTCAAAGAATTTATGGAGCTTCTATT